ATTTCCGCACTCGTCTTATTGACCTTTTATACATCAAATACAATATAATTAGACGATGTCCTTATACATATCCTTCACATATGCTTATCAAGTCTGAATTAAATTTTATTACTTTTTACACTTTTTTATTAATTTCTTCTCCTTCTTTGAAATTATCCAAAAAGTTTTAAACCCTAATTGTACTTATTTTTCTTTAATTAAAAAAATTTTTTAAATTTGTTTAGGATGAAACTTGCTAGTTTATTAATCGTTCTAATCTTCTGGATATTATTGGTATCTGTTACAACTGTTCCAACAGAAAAAGATACAAACAAAGGTGAAGACAAAGTGTTTAACAGAAGTAAATATAATAAAGAATATTACCAGAAAAATAAAGAAAGGAAGGTTGAGTATCGGCGAAATTATTACAAAGCGAATAAGCAAAAGTTAAAAAATAATATGAAAATTTACTACCACGAAAATAAAGAAAGGCGACTGGAAAAAATGAGAATTTATCAACAAAATAACAGAGAAAAACTGAACGAATACAAGAACAAATACCGACAAGAAAAGAAAAACGTTCAATCTGATAATAATGAAGGAACTTCATTTGTTAATCCACAGACTGGTGATTTTACTAATAAAGGTAAATTACCAATTGTGAGCGAGGAAAGAAATCTATTAAATCAAGGAGAGGCAAAATCCAATAATGCCAAAAATGAGCAAAATCAAATCGAAGTGGAAGAATCAAATAAAATTCATGATGTTGGCACAAATCAAGTAGATTCAGATAAGAAAGTTCATCCTTTTGATCTGAACGAGAAACCTAATGATAGTGCCTGGGAGATTATTAAGAATAATGGGTTTTTCAGTTTATCCAACCCATTACATTCTATATTTAAAAGGCCATGATGTAAATTCTTCCAAATTATGATAATTCTTCCAACTCGTTATCTACATTTACTTTACTTTTATTTTAATCTTTCTTTCTCACATGAATTAAAGGAATCTTATTCTATATTCTTAAATATATTCTAAAATAAATTTTTGATGAATAAATGATTTACTATTGGTTTTTGTAGAAGTTTATTGCTTCTTTAAACTATAATCTATATAAAATTATTATTCAATTTCACGGGGGGGGGGGGGTACTAATTATTAAGTACCTAATTTGTTTTTATCATTATGCATTTTCCTTTGGATGAATTCTTTTTTCGCCATTAAAAATAAAAAAACCCCTTCGTAAAAAACCCTTTCGAAATTAATCTTTCGTAATATGCCAGCTTGCTTTATTGCAATTTTATACATTGACGATATCATGAATACATCAATTACAAAAAATAATTTACATAATGCCCTTACTTTCCTCAGAATTTTTCATTTTATAAATTCATTTTTAAATTAAATTTTATTTTTTTCTTTAATTTTAAATAAATTTTAAAATTTATTAAGGATGAAACTTGAAAGTTTTTTAATCATTTTAATCTTCAATTGGGTATTATGGACATTTGTTAAAACTGTTCCAACTAAAAAAGGTTTAGCTAGACTTGTTGAAAAGGGCTACACGGCTACTCAATTATTAAATGATGGGGCTGAATCGTCTGTCAATCCTCAAATTCAAAAACATAAAGAGACGTTAAAACCAAAAATAAAAATTTCTAAAAAGGGAAAAAATAGAGATAATGGAGAAGGCAAATTATTTAACAAAAATGAATATAATAAAGAATATTACCGGAAAAATAAGCAAAAGTTGCTTGAAAATAATAGTATTTATTACCAAAAAAATAAAGAAAAGATAAAGAACCAAAGAAAAGTTTATTACAAAAATAATAAAGAAAAGGGGAATGAATACAAACGAAAATGGCAACAAGAAAAGAAAAACTTTCAATCTGAAGGAACTTTATTTGTTAATCAACAGATTGGTGATTTTAATAATAAAGGCAAATTACCTATTGTTTGCGAGGAGGAAGGAAATCTTTTTAATCAACGTGAGATGGAGGACAATAATGGAGAAGACAATCAAATCGAGATAGAAGAGCCAAATAAAATTCCTGTAGATGATATAAATCAAATAGATCTAAATAAGAAAAGTTATCTCTTTGATCTGAATGAGATGCCTGAGGAAGATGTGGATGAATATTGAAATATTCGATTTTTATGTTTTTGAAATCGCCATAGGGCGAGGATATATCCCAAAATTGATTTTTTTGTTGAGCATTTTGACTTTTTTCTTTTCTTTGTTATTCTCTTTTAAACAGAATTTTTATCTGTATTCAATTGTATTTTAAAGTAATTTTATTAAATTAAAAGCCTTTTGACAAATTATTCTATGTGGGTAATAATAATGTATACCCAGACAGACAGAATATTATGGTGATCATAGCCTGCCTTCTAAATAACTCAGCCCCCGATCAACAAAAGGAAATGCTGTAGAAATATCGATTTTTTTGGTAATAGTGTCGCTTCCAGTCCCTCATTTTTCCTCCCCTTTTCCTATAAATTTGTACAAAATGGGAAGACTTTTCCTTCTTCAATCACAATTGCCTTACTATATTTTGTTCACAAACAATCAAAAATAATTATTTTTTTCCAGTTCTTTAGAAAGAAAGAAAGGCAATTGTAATGTAAGAAAAGAAGTCTGTCTATGTTGTACAAATTATAGGAGAAAACTTGTTGAGAAAAAAAGGGGGACTGGAAACGACACTATTACCTTTTGGTATCTTTTATATAAAATATTTAATGACAAAGTACGAGATGTTTTTTGAAAAATATTTTTTCGTGATTTTTATTTTCGTAATTTGTTATTTATTTCTTATAACCGTAAGAAAACCGTAATGCGTAATTACGACGCAACTCTGTTTGCCAGCCTGCTTTATTGCCCTTTTAGTCATTGACGATTTCATAAATACATCAAATTCAAAAAATAAATTACATAATGTCCTTATATTCCTCACAATATTTCATTTTATAAATTCATTTTTAAATTAAATTTTATTTTTTTCTTTAATTTTAAGTAAGTTTTAAAATTTTTTAAGGATGAAATTTACTAATTTTTCAATCGTTTTAATCTTCAATTGGGTATTATGGACATTTGTTAAAACTGTTCCAACTAAAAAAGGTTTAGCTAGACTTGTTGAAAAGGGCTACACGTCTACTCAAGCACTAAATAATGGGGCTGAATCGTCGGTAAATCCTCAAATTCAAAAACATAAAGAGACGTTAAAACCAAAAATAAAAATTACTAAAAAGGGAAAAAATAGAGATAATAGAGAAGGCAATGCATTTAACAAAAGTGAATATAATAAAGAATATTACCGGAAAAATAAGCAAAAGTTGCTTGAAAATAATAGTATTTACTACCAAAAAAATAAGGAAAAGATAAAAAACCAAAGAAAAATTTATTACCAAAATAATAAAGAAAAGGGGAATGAATACAAACGAAAATACCGACCAAAAAAGAAAAACATTCAATCAAGTAATAATGAAGGAACTTCATCTGTTAATCCACAGACTGATGATTTTACTAATTTAGTTAAATTACCTATTGTTTGCGAGGAGGAAGGGAATCTTTTTAATCAACGTGAGGAGGAGGACAATAATGGAGAAGAAAATCAAATTGAGTTAGAAGAGCCAAATAAAATTCCTGGAGATGATATAAATCAAATAGATCTAAATAATAAAATTTATTCTTTTGATCTGAACGAAATGCCTGAGGACGAAGAATTAAATGATTATTGAAATATTCGATTTTTAAGTTTTTGAAATCCCTATATGGCAAGAAAATATCCCAAAATTGATTTTTTAAGCATTTTGACTTCTTTCTGTTTCTTTGTTATTCTCTTTTAATCAAAATTTTACATGCATTTAATTGTTTTTTAACGTAATTTTAGTAAATTAAAAGCCTTTTGACAAATTATTCTAATGTGGTATAAGCGCACACCGGCTTCTGCCAATATTTCACTTGAAAAATTAAGAATTGATGAAAACAACAAAAGAAAATTTCTTAGTAAAAATGCCTTTAAGACCTATTAACAAAATAATAAAGAAAAGTATTCTAGAGATATAATAGATCTCTATAATAGAAAACATTTAACTTTCAATTATAGACCTCAAATTATAGACCTATTAAGGAAACTTCCTAACAAAGATTCTAAATCCCCGGAAAGAATTTCTTATATTTTACTAAAAATTCAGATGAAGAATTAACCCCTGTACTAACAGAAATATTTAGAATAATACAGGGCACGGCAAATTTTCCTCTCCTTTTGTTTTGGTGATTAATTATTAAGTAATTTGTTTTTATGATTATGCACTTTCTTTTCAATGAATTTTACTTGTTTTTCAGACTTAAAAAGCAATATGGTTGTGAAATTACCCTTTCGTAATTTGCCTGCCTGCTTTTTTGCACTTTTAAAAATCGACTATATCAGTGAATACATCTATTACAAAATATAATTTAAATAATGCCCTTATATTCCTCACATTTTTCATTTTATAAATTCATTTTTAAATTAAATTTTATTATTTTCCTTTGATTTTTAAATAAATTTTTTTGATTTTTTAATAAATTTTAATAAAATTTATTGATGATGAAACTTGAAAGTTTTTTACCCGTTTTAATCTTCAATTGTGTATTGTGGACATTTGTCAAAACTGTTCCCATTCGAAAAGGTTTAGCTAGACGTGATGAAAAGGATTACACGGCAAATGATGCTAATAAAACATTAAATGATGGGGCTGAATCGTCGGTCAATCCTCAAATTCAAAAATATAATGAAACGTTAAAACCAAAATTAAAAATTACTAAAAAGGATACAGCCAAAGGAGAAGACAAGGTGTTTAAGAAAAGTGAATATGATAAAGAATATTATCAAAAAAATAAAGAAAGGTTGTTAGAAATTAAGCGAAAATACCGAGAACAAAATAAAGAAAAGGTAATCGAGCAAAAACGAAACTACAATATAAAGAATAAAGAAAAAATTAGTCAAACTACGAAAATTTAGCGTCAAAAAAATAAGGAAAAGTTAAAAAATCAAGCAAAAATTTATTACCAAAATAACAAAGGAAAGTTGAATGAATACAAGCGAAAATGGCGACAAAATAAGAAAAACGTTAAATCTGATAATAATGAAGGAAACTTATTTGATAATCCACAGAGTAGTCTTTATAATCAACGTGAGGAGGGGGACAATAATGGAGAAGAAAATCAAATCGAGGTAGAAGACGTAAATAAAATTTCTGGAGATTACATAAATGAAATAGATTCAGATAAGAAAAATCATCTCTTTGATTTAAACAAGAAACCTGAGGAAGAAGAAGCGGAAGATTATTAAAAATGGGATTTGTTTCCAACTTTGTAATTTTATTTAAATTCATCACGATTTTTTAGTTTTAAAAATTTGATAGACCCCAAAAATTAAATTTAAAAGCAATAAACATGACAGATAAAATAATAAATCTAAATATAAGTGATTCATTGAAATTTGATTATCTGGGGCAGAGCTGTACGTTTTTTATAACTTTTTACTCCTCAAACTGAAAACATTAACAGGAATTTTTGTAGATTTTTCGGACGACTTCTAATGTCGAAACCTTAGGGGTGCTTATAATTATCTGACAGTAGTTTTAACTAAATTTCATTTATTTTCTCTAATATCCATATTTAATTTATCAATGATTGTTTTTTTCTGTTCAATATGCATCAGAAAATCCTAAAAATATTTAAAACTATGATATTTTAACCTTAACTATATTTTTATTCAAAAACTAGGGGGTGCTTATAATTTTCTGACAGAGTGTATGACTGAGATACCTTTATACGATATCATTTGATTTATTATTTCGATATTTCTGATATCCTAACTTTTTTCGGTAAAAGCACCGTCATGTAATTTTTAGTGAATATGTAAAACGTTCTAGGATACGGGTCTCCGGAACTTCTTTTAAAGATTGTATTTTTAGAACAGGATTTCAAGTGACTACTAAAACGAATTTATCACCTTCAATTTAAAACAAATTTGAGGTTAAAAATATTTTATACATTTTTTTGAGTTATTTTATTTACTAAATTATTTCATAATAACAAGCAAGATTTCTTTTCCTGATAAGGATTGTTTTCAATATGTCCGGTCACGAAACAGTCGTTATCCTTCCGGCTCTCACAAAATTCAACTAAATTCTTGGCTACCTCAGATCTGAAAAATTCATTTAAAATCAAATTATTAACATAGTTTATAGAGATATCGGTCTCGAATCCACAAAGGCTGTTTATGCAGTTACGTATGGAGAGGACATGTTACAGGAGCTCTACCACTGAGCTACCGGCGCGACGACTAATGCTTTCTCTGTTATCGTTTTAGATCGTTTAACCCCCGCCTAAGCGTTTTAAATGAGGTAAAAATCGTTAGGTAATCACAAGGTCATTGTAAACCGGTAAAATAAGAAAACCACGTTAACCACCATCGTAAGGTCACCTAACCAGCAACCACGTTCTTATGTTACCGGTTGATTTTAACCGCCGGTTGCTGGTTAGATAACCAGGTCAACTAACCACAACCTAACCAGCAACCGAGTTCTTATTTTACGGCCCCTGATGTGCATTTATGTCATCCAATTTTGAAAATCGGAATGAGTCCTCCTGAAATACAGGCTCATCAATCCAGCCCCAGAGAACAATATTTTAATAAAAAAAAATACCCACACTTTTTTCCTAGGAATATTCGCTTCTTGTCTAAGTTGTTGAACATTCTCTAATGCTTGTTGCATAATTTGGTCAGCTTTTGAAATTATTATGGGTTCTTTTAAAGCTTCCCCTTTCTTTTTTTCAATGTACGGTAAATGCTTTCTTCTCTTCGTTTTAAAGTTTATTTTAATGGAAATAAAAAAAAATAAATAAAAATAATTTTAAAACTAATTAAAATAGTGTAATGGAACTGTTTTTAACAACTAAAAAAATTTTTTTATAAAAAAAATTTTAAAAATAATTAGTAATTTATGTAGAGGAATAGAGGGGGCAAATTACTTCATTAAATAGTTGGTTAATTATTTTTAAAAAATAATAGACGAATAGAAAATTAAAATAATGAGGAGGAAGTGTAACCATATAAACGTGAACATAAAAAAATTTGTTGAATAATTTTTATTTTGGTAAAGTAAGGGTACAATGTAAATAATGTGTATTATATTTTTCATTTTTTTAGATTAAAAAAATTATTTTAATATTCCGGAAACACAAATTCCCTTCAGGTAATGCGAGTTTCCAGATATTTGCTAATTTTAATGTTTCAATAATAATCTCACCATTTCATCTTGATAAGTAACTTAAGTTCGAAACTAATAATTTTTTAAGATTATGCTCACTATCAATCATTTGTGAAAAAAATTTCTTCAGAAATTTTTAGAAAATTTGTAGATATTTTAAAAATAATTTAAAATTTTAAAATTAAATTTTTACACATTTTGGCATTAATTTTAATTTAAAATATCAAGTTAAAAATTTTTAAATTAAGAAATATACATATACAAGTCCAACCCTCCTTCACTCTCTTCCCCTCTTAATAATTTTCCCCCGTTTATTCGGCGAATGAACTTAGAAAGGCGGCGGAAGTTGTTTAAAAACAAGACACCTTCTAAACCTATTCAAACACATTAAAAGTTGTATTTATCCAATTTTCCACGTGAAAAATTCGCCAAAAAATGTAACGCTTAGGGAGCACTAAAGCATTAAATAGTAAATATTTTTAGTTAACCACGAAGCAATTTTTTATAAAATTTAAAAGCGAAAAAACAGACTTTATTTTTAATGGCTTTTGTTGTCATAGAAACATTGGATAGAGGAATTAAAAATATTTAAGTGAAGTTAACTCGCTTATTTTTAATCCGCTTATTAAAAAAAGATAATTTCGAAAATTAATGAAGTTGTTTAAATTAATGTTAAAATTATGGGAATTTTAAGATAACATATGTTAGAGATGGCGTCGGGAAATTTATAACAGAATATTAAAGTAAAAAATTTTAGAAAAATTTAGAAATGAATTTTTAAATATCGCATAGTTATTGGGTTGTATCAAAATTAATGATCATTTTCATCAGACTAACAATTCAAAAATGATGAACAACTCGAAAAAGAGGTAGGTCAATGGATTCCTTCCAAAATCGGCCCTGACTTTTAGGAGAGAGGAATTCGGAGGTCGAGGCAGTGCTAGAGACTTGTAGTGTTGCAACAAGGAGATTATATCATTAATTCAATTTGTTTTTTGTTTATTTATTGCGTTTTGTAAATTGAGAAAAAACGATCATTAATTAAGTTACAACAAAATAGATTCCATTGCCTTTACATTAAAGTTCTATGGCACAGACCACTGATTCAATTGAATACAGAATCTGTTATTTAAAGAAGAGCTCACGTCAGAAAAATTTTATAGTTATAAAATTTAATTTTATTCACAATTTCATAAAAAAATTATTTTTACAGATTTGATTCAAAAATTTTTTCATTTGCATCATTGCTTTTTTGAGTTATTTAAATAAATATCTTCAAGAGTCATTTCGTACGAACCTTCTGAAAAATAAAAAAAATATATCCAATTTATTTAAATAATTTACCATTAGTGGAATAAAATGTATTATTCAATTTTTCATTCAAAACAATATTATTATTATTATCATTATCCATACAAATCAGAATAAATAAATTAATAAATATAAATAAAAAATAAATGTGTCTTATCATCATTTTTATCTTTTTTCCATCAAAAAATTTATAATTAATTAACGTAAATCTTTAAATCAACTACATATATGGGCCTCTATTTTTTAGTCCTCTCAGAGGGATTGAAATTTAGGAGGGATTGAAGTTTAAACAGAGATTGGGTTTTATTAAAGCATTCAAGGTATTAAAAAATGAATTTATGGAAAAGCTAAGTTTCCGGTGTAGCTTGTGATTTTTTCCGGTTAATTTTAAATAAATATACTATATGGTTTCCGGAAGGAATATTATTTGAAGTTTTCGGATAATAATACCTAAGGTGATAGAAAAATTAAAACAAAATTTCTGTAGTATTGAATTATTCTGTAATTTTTGCCGGATTGTATTAATTTTTAAGTAATTAAAAATCCTTAATATTCCCACATAAATATAATAAATGTCTATATTTTATGAGAAAATATAAAAAAAAAATTAAAAAGTGCAATATTACGAAAATATTTATCCTTCCTTAAATGAAGAAATTAAATGAAGAAATTACTCAAGGAAGTAAAAATTTATTTAAAAAATTTAAATAATTTTAAATTGTTCCGTTAGAATGTTTTAATTTTGGCAGTTTAGTAGTAGCCTTAATTGTGGTACCTGTACTATTAGTAGTTGTTCTTGTAGTAGTAACAATTTCATCACACTTATCAAAACAACGTCTAGGCTCATAATTTAAAATTATATTCCCAGTTAGTCACTTAGCTTTCTTATTTTTATTATTGAAAGTTTAATGTAATTTAAATATGAAATTAATATTATTGGCAGTCTAGTTTTTATTTTAATTATGTTTATCCCTTTCGGCAACGATATGATTAGTTGGTGAGTGTCTGGCCACGCACAACATCCCTCTGCCCCACACCTTCCAACTTTACAATGATAAATGCCGTAATAAAGATGTGCCGTTAATTTATTTTTTTATTATAAACTTGTTATCAATTTTTATAAAAAAGACTTAACAGGATAATTATAGACTTCAAGTGCTCTTTAAATGAGTCAAACTAGAAGTATGTATAATTAATCAACAAACTTTTTACTAAAGTTTTTTGCATTATATAGCATTAATATATTCCAAGGCTTCGATTTCTGCGGATTTTTCTTCATTTTGTGGTTTTTTGATAGATATTGATGATTATTTTTAAAAATGTGGATTTGCGGAATTTTGTGTTCTTTTCAAAATTATGAGGATTTCTTATATTTTTCATAAAAAGTAAAAATAAAGCGATTTTAATTCAATTTTTGTTTTTGATGATTGCCTGGGGTGCAAAAAAGGTTTTTGCGAATTTTTGATATAAATGCGGATTTCTAAAAATTCGAGATCGAAGCTCTGGTATGTTGTATTTATGTTACTTTGTATTAAATTTTATGAACACTGATGAGCCAAAATAAAATTTATGTAAAAGTTAAGTTTGTGTAGAACAATTTTTTATCTTTTTTCACGCCTTAAAAATGAGAAAGAAATGATTTTAAAAATTTTTAAGGTTTTGTGTATTACAAAAATGAGACTAGAACCCACCAAATTAGCCACTAAGTTAGCCACGTATATAAAATTTTATAAATTATTTTGGGATAATTTTCATATGACTTTCCGGAAGTAAATAAATTAACTAAATTGACTGAAATTAATTTTTAATTTTACACGTGGATTTAGTTTATACGTGGAAATCTTTTAAATTCTGACTGCAATTATGCCTATATATACTGAAAGAAAACTAGATGGTTACACAAATTAAAACTAAATTCAAAAATCAAAAAAAAAATGCTTAATATATTTATTTTAATTATTTCTTCTATACCTTTATTGGCCCTAGCATTAAATCAACAAGGGGCTAAATTTTGTAATTTCCCTACGCCTACAAGTACAAATGTAACAAAGACGACTTTACATATTACAAAAGACACTGATTTTGGAATGCAACGAATTATTTTTAATGGCAAGCCAAATACTTGCCGTCCAATTATTCCTGGATGGAAAAACGATTGGGATCATGCAATAATTGTTGAAAACGGAGTTACTATAAGTAATCTTATTATGGGAGAATCAACAATCGGCACTTCTGCTGATATTATTTGTAAGGGTAGTTGTACACTTAAAAATGTTTTGTAAGTTTATAAAATAAATAAAATTTTAAATTAAGAGCATAACAAAAGGGTATTTATAAGATCTGATTTTACAGATCTGGACTGAAACGAAGCGGATTCAGTCTTTATGCTTTGAATTACTGTATATGTGTTTATCTATAAGTTCGGGGCTGATTTTGAATGCGAGATTGGATTAATGAGTGTTAGGGTTGCTTCCTGTCTAGACTAATGTTGGCGGTCCCTGGTAAATCGTGAATATTCGGAACCGGTATCCGAACCGAAATTTTTGAATATTCGGGCTTTTTAGGTACTGGATACCCGGAACCACCGAACTTTTACAGAGGAGTAAAAATAAAAAATCCTAAAAATATTTTAAAAAGTTGCCGAAGGGCAGTGGATGGAATTTCGAAATTCCCCGTACTCGTAATTTCGTACAGGCACGTATTTTAGTGCGAGCGCCCAATAGGGTACGCATTTTAGTACGAGCTTCCAATCACTGCTTGAGGCATTTATTTTCCACAAAGTTTCTTTTCTTTACTATTTAATAAAATTTATTTTTGAAAACTCTATTTTCAACATTTTAGTTTTGAAAATGTTTGCTGGCGTGCTGGTACCTTTATAGGTGCATCAGACGCTAAGCCTGGAGATACAAGAAAATTTACTTATGTAAGCTTTATTATTTAAATCAAAATTTTTGCGTCTTGATTTTTTAATAGATTGTAGATGGTGGTGGTGCTTTAGACGGGTTTCAGAAAATTTTTGCTACAGGAGGACCAGGAAAAACAATTGTTAAAAATTTCTGTTCTTACAATAACGCTATAGGTGTAATCTCTGCTGGCGAATGTTCAAAACAATATACGCGAGAGGTTACCGTTGAAAATTCAAAATTCATGGGACCAATGCTCAATATAATCGGTAAATTTTACCAACCTTAAATTAAGACATAAAAGCAATTTAACCATTGAATCATACAGTAATCGAGCTATTTTTAAACAAATTATCTAATTATTATATACGTTGTTATGCATGCTGTAGAAAACTTCATTGGAAGGGAGATGGTATTGAACCATCACGGAAGGAGCCCTGACCGAAGCACAACCGATTGTGCCATTATCCAACCCGATGATGTGTTATTTATTTTCATTTATATTCTTTCTGCAAGTACGGACATAACACTAATAATTGAAGCTTTTTGATTCTGAAACAGAAGAGGAACCAAGAATTTTTTCCTATCTTCCTCTGTTCGGATCCGGATATTCAAAGATATTCCAGCAACCCCACAAATTTACATTAACTTGCAAATAACTTAATTTTTAAAAAAGGTGGAAACCGTCAATACAACGACAAATGTACAGTTCGAAATATATCAATTTATGGTAACAACAACCCTGCAACACAAATTAAATTTGTTTGTGATGAGTACCTGGGGACAAATGCTGCAGATCCTTGGAAATATAGTTACAAAACAGGAGAAGCTGGAACGAGCGATGTATGTTGTAAATACCCTGCTTCAGCTGTGAAAATAATTAATTGATGGAGAGATGTCATCCCCAGAATATTTAAATTTTAACGATAATATTATGTAATATGAAATAGTTTATCTGCCATTTAGGCACAAAATATTGTCAAATAAATGTGAGTATAAAGCAATAAAATAAACGATGATGAAATAGTATAATTTACAATTAATCTTGATTTAAGACAGATTTAGGACAGCAAAAAATATTTTTTTATTGCCTTTATAAAAGCGGCAAATTTAAATTTTTAAGCCTACAAGCATTTAATTAGTCTCTAATTTTTGCCGGATTGTGTTAATTTATTAAGCAACTAAAAATCCTTATTATTCCCACATTCAGCAATATAATAAATGTCTAGATTTTATGGGAAAATATGAAAAATTATTTTTTTTAAAACAAAAAATAATTTTTTTCACAAAGTGGTGAATAACTGGAATAATCTTCCAAATGAGCCATTCAAAATAAATGATCCGAAAAAATTTAGAAGTCTCATTAAACAGTATTCTATAAAATACTAAGGACATTAAACCCTAGCGTGTGGTTTTACGAGTTTTTGTTTACTATTTATATATATTTTTTTCATGTTTTTTTTGTTGTTGTTGCTTCAAATATTTTTTGCTTTGTATTTTTTTATGCACCACTTTAATGTATTTTAAAATACCTGTGGTTTGCTGATAAATAAATAAATAAAAAATTATTAAAAAGTGCAATATTACGAAAATATTTATCCTTCCTTAAATGAAGAAATTACACAAGGAAATAAAATTTTATTTTAAAAAATTTAAATAATTTTAAATTGTTCCGTTAATATTTTTTAATTTTGGCAATTTATTAGTAGCCTTAATTGTGGTTCCTGTACTATTAGTAGGTGTTCTTGTAGTAGTAACAATTTCATCACACTTATCAAAACAACGCCTAGGCTCATAATCTACGACAACATCAGGGTATATCTTTGCAAGAGTACAATTCTTCTTATCCTCATCAAAACATTCTAATTGTCCACTATTATTTATCAAATAATAATCAGGCCAAAGCATTTCATCTAAATTACGTTGCCTAATTCTTTCTTCGTTAGTCCCACCGTCGTCCTTAAATTTTGGATTAAATATTCAATCATAGAAAAGAATATAAATAAACTTGAATTAGTGATCGGAATTAATGTATCACGTACCGTAACGATAAGGAAACACTAACGGTTCGATAAAACTAACGGTTCGGTACACTAACTAAAGTATTTCTGAATATAATTATTATTTATGTGGAAATAAATTTTTAGATTTGAATGCTCTCCATATCCATAATTTTTTGATAGACAAAATTAAATTTACCAAATTATTTATAAAAATAGAAAACTTAATTTATGTACAGGAAAACTTTCAAAATTTAGGCTTAGACGGCGGAAGGATGGAAAATTGAAAAAATGGAAATGGGTCTTTAGTTCTAGCTTTTTCTTTATAAGACTTAAGGCTTTATAAGACTAATAAACTTAAATTAATTAATAAAACTTAAAATTCTCTCTTTCATGATTAAATATTTAGCAGTCACCGAAAATACGAACTTAGGTTCCTTAGGCTTCTTAATGATTTATTTGAATTTTTCATAAAAAACTTGCAAGTATCAGCTTTTCTCAAATGAATTTTTTGGAACAAAATTTTTAAAATTTTTAATAAGCTTTTTAAAATTAAAAATAGCAAAATTACTTCTTTATTCACATAACACCAAGGGCCAAATTTCCATTCTGTGGCATTAAAAAATATGTGAAATGTTGCATTGCTTATCTGTTTGTTATACTCGTAGAGGTTGAGACTTGTTGAACGGCAATAATTATGGCTCATATACTCATTTGGATAAAAACTTTTTAATTAAATTAGTATTATTAGTTAATGAATAGGCAAAGGTCCAGCTGAGTGAATTTTAAAACGCTTATTAGGAGGGGTTTTAAGATCCATTAAAAGAGGAAGTCCAAACATCTGCCTAATGTTTATCAGTGGATTAAGCTATTGGAATGCCTAGCATTAGCTTGCAGGAGGTCATAGAATCAATGCATGACCATGGCCAAACTTTTGCCTCACTCTCTTGATATCTTATTTATTTTCTAAAATAATTTAGAATGTCGAATTTCCAAATAAGGAACTCAAAGTGCATGTGAAAAATACTGTGAACATTTTTATATTTAATTTTAGGAGACCGTTATATGGGCTAAGCCCCACAACGAGATTCTATTATATTATAATTATCTTACAATGTATTATAATCCTTGTAAATCTCCAACAATTGTTTAGTAACATCTATCCATTTTAAACAAGGTTTTTTATCATACGAATGATTTCTATAGCCGAAATAATGAAAATGTGAATCGTCTCCTGGACGCCAACATTCGATACCTTTGCGGTGTCGAGTCTCTAAGGCTTTAAATATTTTTTAGAAATGAAAAAATTTTTTTAAATACTCTCAAATCGACTCAAATTGAAGCAAACACAAGGCTGAATAATATAGAAAAATAAAAGAATAATAAAATTGTATAGCATTTATTTAATAAAAATTTTTACTTTTTATAAAATTCAACGAAAATAAATTTTAAATTGAATAAATTCTGTTTATTCCATTTTTACAATTTGATGAGTAATAAATTTTTAATTAAATAAATTAATCATATTTATGCTTTCCGATCATTTTTATATATATTGAAGTATGTAAATAACTAATTTTAGCAAAATATTATTATGCAAGAGTGTTAAGAAATCCAAATCCATCTTTGAAAAGCAAAAACCTCAATATATAATATAGGGGGCCAAACCCATAGAGAAAAATAATCTTAATAATCTTGCAATTCTTGATCATCGGGTTTTTTGTTCAGATCAAAAGGCAGAATTTTCTTATTTAAATCTATTGTGTCTTCTTCAAGAGTTTTATTTGGCTCTTCAACCTCGATTTGATTTTGTTCATCTTCCACTTCATTGTATTCATCCTCTCGTTTATTAAAAAGATTTCCTTCCTCCTCGCAAACAATTGATAATTTACCTTTATTAATAAAACTGTCAGTCTGTGGATTAACAAATGAAGTTCCTTCATTATTATCAGATTGAACGTTTTTATTTTGACGGTATTTTCGCTGGTATTCATTCAACTTCTCTATTATTTTGGTATAAAATTTTATTTTTAGTACGTACGTATTCTTTCTTTATTTTGTATCTTGTAATTACGCTTATATTCACGTATCCTTTCTTTATTTTTCTGTCTATATTCTTTAAAATATTCACTCCTGTCATTCACCATGTCTCCTTTATCTGTTTCCTTTGTATTTTTTAATTTTGATTTTAATTTTTCTTTATGTTTTTGAATTTGAGGATTGACAGAGGATTCAGCCTCAACATTTAATGTTTTTGTGAGATCCTTTGCCGTGTGATACTTTTCAGCATGTCTAGTCAAACCTTTTCGAGTTGGAACAGTTTTAACGGATATCAACAATATCCAATTGAAGATTAAAACGATTAAAAAACTTTCAAGTTTCATTCTAAACAAATTTAGGCTCTTGTCCAGTTCATGCGTCCCATAAAATTTATGCGTCCAATGAAAATTTATGAGTTCCACAAAAATTTTATCTTGGGACGCATAAATCTTCATGGGATGCATGAACTGGACAAGAGCCCAAATTTAATAAATTATAGTTAAAATTAACAAAAAATAAGAAAATTTAATTTAAAATGAATGGTGGATATAACATTTAAGAAAGGTATAAGCCAAGAAGGGCAAAGCCAAAGTTATGGTTTGTAAGAAAATTTAATATTACCTAATACCAGAGGTGGGTCGGAACAGTCAGAGATGTCGGAAATCGGAACTGTCGGAAATCGGAAATGGCTCAAAAGTCGGAACTCGGAAATCGGAAATCGGAAATCAAAATTTTTTTTCGGAAATCGGAAATCGGAAGGAAAAAAACGCCGGAAATCGGAAATCGGAAGGCGGAAATCGGAAATAAAATTTTTATTTTCATAACTGAATTTATTTAAAATTGTAAGGTGGTAAATTATGGGCATTCTTAAGTGTAATTTGAGGGTGTAAAAGTTCTTTTTGCAACTCAAAAGTCAAATTCGAAGGGATTAAAAGAGATATTGTGGGATTTGGTAGATTAGACGGGATATCAGAGAATTTATAGAATCAATAGGGATATTTGGAGTTTAAAAATGAGGACTGATAGAGCCTATGACCCCTCGTAATCACACGATATAACTCAAAGTCCACATTAATCTAACCTAATCCTCCGATATACTATTCAACTTCCATTTACAGCGCCGCAGGCAAAAATTTTGGGATTTTTGGGAGCCTTAAGCCAAAAATCTTCCATTTTTTGCGCCGCAGGCGAAAATTTTGAGAATTTTGGAGGTCCTTAAGTTAGATTTCTTCGAATTTTTGCGCCGCAGGCGAAAATTTTGAGAATTTTGGAAAAATCTCTAGTCGGAAATATGCTTCAAAAATTCTCGGAAATCGGAAATTTTTCCAAAATTTCGGAAATCGGAAATCGGAAGGAAAAAAACGTCGGAAATCGGAAATCGGAATTCCGACCCACCTCTGCCTAATACATAAGTAGATGTAAATAAAAAGGGCAAATAAGCTAGAGAGTTTAAATACAGACAGAACAAATTACAAAATCAGAATAAACAATAAGGTATTTTCTCATATTTAAAAATATAAAAACAAAAGTAAAATTCGTTGAAAGTTCCTTATTTAAAAATTCCTTATTTGTAAAATCATCAGTCTGTGGATTAACAAATGAAGTTCCTTCATTATTAGCAGATTTAAGGTTTTTATTTTTTTGTTGATATTTTTGTTGGTATTCTTTCAATTTTTCTTTATTATTTTGGTAATAAATTCTCTTCCTTTTCTGTATACTTTCTTTATTATTTTGGCGGTAATTTCGATGATATTCTTGTATTTCTTTATATTTTAATAAATCTTTTTTATTGTTTTCATAGCGGTTTCGCGTATTTTCACGCAACTTTTGTTTATTTTTTTGGTAATATTCTTTATTATATTCACTTATTTTATTCACTTTATCTTTTCCATTATTTATATCTGCGTCCTTTTCCTCCGTGCTTTTTTGAATTTGTGGATTTATCGAAGATTCTGCCACATCATTTAATATTGCAGTTGGCATGTTATCATTTTCAGCATGTTTAGCTAAATCTTTTTGAGTTGGAATAGTTTTAACAAATGTCCATAATATCGCATTTAAAATTGAAATGATTAATAATATAGTAATGTTCATTTCTAACAAATTTAAAAATTTACAAAAAATTGAATATAATAAATTTGAATGTGAATTTATATGAATGAAAATTTGTTATGTACTAAAGGTTATGTACTAATTTGTGATTTAAAATGTACTAAAGGGCAATAATGCTAATGTGTACAAATGTCAGACAGACAAATTATGAAATCTTAAAAGACAACCATTTTATACATTAAATACCAAAACAAATAAAATTCACTGAGATGAAAGTGCAAGGGATAATAAAATAGGTCGCATATTTTACGCAGCCTTTATTTTACCGACAATGAAATCTTAAAGGTCAACCATTTTATACTTTAAATACCAAAACAAATAAAAATTATTGACATGAGAGTGCGTGGGATAATAAATAAATGTTCACCTATTTTCACGCAACCTGTTCTCGCCGGTATTATTATTTTACCGGAAATATGCTAATTACCTAATTTAATTGTATTGTTCATTACTTTGATAGTGTCTGTAATAAGTAGGGCTTGAAAAATATGCACGTAAAATCACAAAATATGCGCATATATGTATATAATGGCTAAAATATCACCAAAATGTGCAAAATTTCCTAAATTATGCATTAGATATGGAGCAAAAACTAGTGAAAATGTGCTATAAAATTCAGGGCCCTATCTGAAAATAATGCGGCAATCAAATTTTTTTCCTTATTCTTAAAAATGGTTAATTTTCTTATATTTTTCTCTCTATTTTTGGTTTTTGCCTTAAGACTATAAACGCAAAAGGATTATTTTTCTTTCATTTGTGAGAATTTACGTTTTTTCTGTCTGTGTTTTAGCTGACCGATGTGTGTGCGTGTTTTGTCTGTCCGGGTCCGTCCTGACAAAACACGGACGGTCACAGACAGACAAAACACGGATGGACACACGGTCGGTCACAGACAGACAAAACACTGACGGTCCTTGTTTTGTCTGTCCGAGTCCGTCCATTTGAAGTGAACGAGGGAAAAAGTCCGCCTTTCTGTACAAAATAAGGAAAAATGTGGAAAGGAAAAAATGAAGGAAAAAATTTGATTGCCGCATTATTTTCAGATACGGCCAAATTCAGTATTCTAATTAAAAAACACTAATATAGCCCTTAAAATTTCATTTAAAGAGAACTAAAAGATACATATTATGGAATTATAATTTCAGAAATCAATCAGAAATTCTTTTAAAAGTCTTTTTAATTGGTTAATTTAAAACTAATTAATTTTTTTTTATCTTAATGAAATAATTTTTATTAAAATTTTATTATTTTTTAAGAATTTTTTATTTTTTGAAAAATTAAAGAAAAATTTTTATTAAATTTTTTACTTTATTTCTAAACTATAAGAAATACAATTCTATAGTGTACTTTATATTAAAAAATATTTACTGATAAAAATTACAAAATTTCTAAAAATAGAAATGTTTACATTAAAAATGTAAACATGATTAAATTTCATTTAATAAAATGTGCCATGGTCCATGTCATTTAAATAGGTCTTTAATCAAATAATCACATATTTTTATAAAAATTTATTACTACATTTCTTATTATAATTCGAAAATTTAAAATCAATTAGAAAATATAGTAGTTTTTATTACTGTGTGAGTACTTAAAATTATATAAAAAATAAATTGTAATGAATAGATTATGGAAAAGCCAGGCTAAATTGTAAAAAACCGTCTTTTTAATAATCTTCACATTAATCATCCCCAGGTAACTCGTTCAGATCGAAAGGATGAATTTTCTTGTTACAATCTACTTTATTTGAATCATCTTCATGAATTTTATTAGTCTCTTCTACCTCGATTTGATTTTGCTTATCTTCCCCTTTATTGTACTCTTCCTCCCCTTGATTAAGAAGATTTCCTTCCTCCTCGCAGACAATTGATAATTTAACTATATTAGTAAAATCAACAGTCTGTGGATTAACAAATGAAGTTCCTTCATTATTATCAGATTGAACGTTTTTCTTATTTTGTCGGTACTTTCTCTTGTATTCAATTCGCTTTTCTTTATTATTTTGGTTATACGTTTTCTGGTTTTTCCTGATACTTTCCTTATTTTTTTGGTAGTAAATTTTGAAATATTGTCTACTTTTCTCTTTAATCCGTTCATTATAATTCCGCTGATTCTCGTTCATTTTTTCTCTGTTTTGTTTTCGGTAATTTCGATTATATTCAAACAACTTTTGCTTATTTTTCTGTCTATATTCTTTAAAATATCCACTTCTATTAGACGTTTTATCTCCTCCTTTATCCGTTTCCTTTGTATTTTTTAATTGTATTTCTAACTTTTCTTTATGTTTTTGAATTTGAGGATTGACCGACGATTCAGCCTCATCATTTAATATTTTAGTCATATCCTTTGCCATGAAATCCTTTTCAACCTGTCTAGCTAAACTTTTTCGAATAGAAATAGTTTTAACAAATGTCCATAATACCCAATTGACGAATAAAACGATTAAAAAACTTGTAAATTTCATCCTAAACAAATTTTTAAATTTATTTAGAAATTTATGAAAAATAATAAATTCTAATTTAAAAGTCAATTTATATAAAGGAAAAATTGTGTAAGTCTATAAAAGGGCAATAAACAAGAATGTCGAAATATCCGACTGAAAATTAACGTAATTTCAAAATACAAACATTTTCCCCTTTTAAACGTATAAAACAAAAATAAAATTCATTGAAAGGAAAGTGCATGTTTTGAAAGAAAGTCGATTTTCCGTCAAAATTAAAAGTGCATATACTTGAAAACATTATTTTAATGTGAAATTTTCCGCACTATAATAAAAAAGGAAGTACAAATAAAATTTTAAATATTGAAATTATTTTCCTTGGAAGTGAAGACAAGGGTATCCTAGACATAAGTCTGGCATACCTATCACCTTAATCGGTAAAGCTCCGAGGGTTTATCAGGTCCAAAGGCTTGCCGAAGCATGATGTTACCGCTATGTCTAAAAGCGCATTATTCACATAGAAACATTAAGTAATGATGAAATAATATACATAAGTGTTTAGCATAACTCTCTGTCGCGAAGCGAAGTCGGAACAATTTTTTCTCCCACAATTTATTTATTTTCCATAAAAACATTTTTGTGCTATTTATCTAATAATTTAATCTAAAGAATTTTCCCAGCCTTCATAAACTTTAGCATGTAATTATTCCTTTTTTGTCCACATACTCTTTATATATACGCTTATTCTTTTTCCTTCCGATCAGTTTTTCCTAATCAGTTTGTAAATGTTCTTTACCTTTCATTCTTCTTAAGCCTTCCTTATTACTTGCTTCACATTAGCAATATTTTCCTAATCGCTGGATTCAGTTTAGCCTACCATTGCTTTATATTTTATTTGTGAAATAAATAAACTTTGATTAGAAAAGGATTTTTATTTTTGGTTTAAATTAGAGAAATTAGGCCATTTCTCTACATCTCCTTTTTGGGAAGAATGGAAAAACCGATATAAAACTAGCTTTAATTTTTGGAATCATCTGAATTTACTTAATATGTTGCAAATCTATCTATAAATCAAATATTTGATTTATGGCCTAACGAAAGTTTAATTAAGGTTTTTTGAAAAGTGTATATTCTTGAAAATATTTGCTTGAATAGTAATAAAAAATTTCAAAATATAATAAATTATTTAATCTTAATAGTTAAAAAAATATTAAAATTAAATTCGTTGAAAAGGAAGAGCATATGTTGTATTTTTAAATTATAAATATATTTTAAAATAAAGACGGATATTTACAGACCAACTAGGGCCGAAAAAACTTAAATTATTGAATCATCGTTCAATTTTATAAATCAAAATAGAAAATCTTAGGACGTATAAATGGGATAGATGCGGTTCCTTTTAATAATCTTCTCATACTTCATCATCAGGCATCTCGTTCAGATCAAAATGATGAATTTTCTTATTTAATTCTTTTTGATTTATGTCCCCTTCAAGAATTTTATTTGGCACTTCTACCTCGATTTGATTATGTTCAGCCTCACTATTGTTGCATTGTTCCTCTCCTTGATTAGGATTTCCTTCCTCAAAACTCTCCTGGTAAACAATTGGTAATTTACCATTGTTAATAAAATCATCAGACCCGTATCAAAAATTAAAATAGGATCTAGTCCTATAATACGGGTCTAGTACAGACCCGTATCAAAATTAAAATAGGATCTAGTCCTATAATACGGGTCTAGTACAGACCCGTTTATAAAAATTTATTAATACATTTCTTATATAAAATTTGAAAATTTAAAATCAATTAGAAAATATAGTAGTTTTTATTACTTTGTGAGTACTTAAAATTATATTAAAAATAAATTGTAATGAATAGAGTATGAAAAAGCAAGGCTAAATTGTAAAAAGCCGTCTTTTTAATAAGGTTCACATTATTCATCCACAGGTAACTCGTTCAGATCGAAAGGATGAATTTTCTTGTTACAATCTATTTTATTTGAGTCTTCTTCAAGAATTTTATTTGACTCTTTTATCTCGATTTGATTTTGCTCATCATTTTGCTTATCTTCCCCTTTATGGTATTCTTCCTCCCCTTGATTAAAATGATTTCCTCCCTCCTGACAAATAATTGTTAATTTACCTTTATTAATAAAATCATCAGTCTGTGAATTAACAAACGAAGTTTCTTCAGTATTATCAGATTGAACGTTTTTATTTTTTTGCCGGTATTTTCGTACCTTTTCTTTATTATTTAGTTGATATATTTTCTGTCTTTGAAGTATCTTTTCCCTATTTTTTTGGTAGTAGTTTCTAACAATTTGACTACATTTTTCTTTATTCCTTTTATTATAATTCCGCTGATTCTCATTCATCCTTTCTTTATTTTGTTTACGGTAATTTCGAAAATATTCTTGCCTTACTTTATTTTTTTGAATTTGCGGATTGACCGACGATTCAGCCACATAATTTAAAACACTAGTCAGATCCCTTGCCTCGTCAACGTTATCAGCAGCAGCAATTAAACACTTAAACTTTTTGCCTTCTCCATCATTTCTATCTGTTCCCTTTATTGTATTTTTGAATTTTGGTTTTAACGTTTATTTATGTTTTTGAATTTGAGGATTCGCGGACGATTCATTATCATTAAATATTGTAGCTTTTAGCAGGTTTAGCTAAACTTTTCCGAATAGGAACAGTTTTAACAAATGTCCATAATACCCAATTGAAGATAAAAACTATTAAATAACTTTCAAGTTTCATCTTAAACGAATTTTAAAATTTATTTAAAAATAAACGGAAAATAATAAAATTTAATTCAAAAATGAATTTATAAAAAGAAAAATAGTGAGAAAAGTGCATCATGAAAATTATGTCTTGAAATAGATGTATTATCTCTTAGGAAGGTTAACAGGGAAATCGTAAATAAAGATTGTGAATAAAATAGGTCCAAAAACACTGCCTTGGGGAACACCTGAATATGTATGAAAAGATTTTGAAAAGGAAAAGATTTTGAAAAAATGGATTAATGTTAAAACTACTCCAATTCGAAAAGGGTTAGCTAGACATGCTGAAAAGGATTACACGGCAATTAAAATATTAAATGATGGGGCTGAATCGTCGGTCAATCCTCAGATTCAAAAATACAAAGGAAAGTTAAATCCAAAATTAAAAATTACTAAAAAGGACAAAGATAACGGAGCAGACAAAGTGCTTGTCAAAAGTGAATATCATAAACAATATTACCGAAAAAATAAAGAAAAGTTGCGTGAATATTCGCGAAACTCCTATGAAATTAATAAAAAAAAATTTATTAAAAAATAAAGAAAGGCAAGAATATTATCGAAATTACCTAAAACAAAATAAAGAAAGGATAAATAAGAATCAGCGAAATTATTATAAAAGAAATAAGGAAAAAATACGCAAAAGTCAGAAAAAGTATGAGCAAAATAATAGAGAAAAGCGGAATGAATACAAGAGAAAGCGGCGACTAAAAAAGAAAAACGTTCAATCTGATAATAATGAAGGAACTTCATTTATTAATCCACAGACTGATGATTTTACTAATTTAGTTAAATTATCAATTGTTTGCGAGGAGGAAGGAAATCTTTCAAATCAAAGAGAGGAGGAATGCTATAATGGGGAAGATGAGCAAAATCAAATCGAGGTAGAAGAAAAAATAAAATTCTCGATGATAAAACAATAGATTTAAATAAGAAAATTCATCCTTTTGATCTGAATGAGAAGCCTGATGATGAAGAAATTTAAGATTATTAAAAAAATGGTTCTTGGTCAATTTATTTCGTAAATTTGAATAATTGATTTCGATTCCTTAACTAATCCGAAAACTATGACTAGAGGACTTCTTTTGATATAATTCTAACTTCCTTTGAGAATTTATTTAATATTTGTTTAATTGTTCGAAGAACTAATTCTTTCTTCTTTGAGTTAACTTTTCTTATTTTAAAAGTTATTAATTCTTTCTTAATAAAAACTTTTAATTCTTCACTACTATCATTCACTTTTCTAAAAGCGTTCCTTTTTTATAAGAAACAAATAAATCTTGCTCTTTAAATTGATTCACTTTTATATTCAAAAACTTTGCTTTAATAAATAAATGAATTTTTTATTGGATAAAAATTCTTAAATGAAATTTGGAAATTAATTGAATCAAAATTTAAATAAAATTCAATGTTCAAATTTACGAAATAAATTGACCAAGAATCGTTCTTTTTAATAATCTTCAATTTCTTCATAATCAGGCTTCTCATTCAGATCAAAAGGATGAATTTTATTATTTAAATCTATTGTGTTATCTTTAAGAATTTTATTTGGTTCTTCTACCTCGATTTGATTTTGCTCATCCTCGGCATAATAGCATTCCTCCTCTCTTTGATTATAAAGATTTCCTTTCTCCTCGCAAACAATTGATAATTTACCTTTATTAATAAAATCATCAATCTGTGGATTAACAAATGAAGTTCCTTCATTATTATCAGAATGAAATTTTTTCTTTTCTTGTCGGCATTTTCGCTCGTATTCATTTCTCTTTTCTTTATTATTTTGTCTATACGTTTTCATGTTTTTCAAAAGCTTTTCCTTATTATTTTGGTAGTAAGTTTTTATAAGTTGGCAACATTTTTCTTTATTACTTTTATAGTAATTTCGCTTATATTCACGCCTCTTTTCATTATTTTTCCGGTTATATTCTTTATTATATTCACTTCTATCAAACACTTTGTTCCTTTTATTTTTTCTACTTGTGTCCTTTTTACTATTTTTCAATTTTGGTTTTACCATTTCTTTATATTTTTGAATTTGAGGATTAACCGACGATTCACCATCATCACTTAATATTTTAGCTGCCGTACACTTCTTTTCGGTTTTTCTAGCTAAACTGTTTTGAGTTGGAGTAGTTTTAATAGTTGCCCATAATATCCAATTGAAGATTAAAACGATTAAAATACTAGCAAATTTCATTCGAAACGAATTTTTAAATTTATTTTAATATTAATGAAAAATAATAAAATTTAATTTAAAAGTCAATTTATATAAGGGAAAATTTAGGCAAATATATAAAAGGGCAATAAACAAGAATGTCGAAATATCCGACAGATAATTTACGAAATCTTAAATTACAACATTTTCCCATTTTTAAATATAAAAACAAAAGTAAAATTCATTGAAAGTAAAGTGCGTTGTTTTAAAAGGAAGTTGATTTTCCGTTAAAAGTAAAAGTGCATATTTATGAAAACATTTTTTAATAAAAGATTTTCCGGAATTAATAAAAAAAAGTATAAAATCTTATTAATCGAAAATAAATATTGAAAATATTTTCGTTAGAAGTATTGTGGAAGTGGATGTGGAAAGCAAGGGATATGTTTACTTCGAAAGTAACATTAACGGAAGTATGAATCAAAGTGCTTTTTAGCCTTTGGGTTAGAGTCCACCCTGCAATATCCACCTTACAATAGGATCGCAATATTTTGCTTTTAAAAGTTTTAATTTCATCAGAACCAAGCATTTTATGGCAGGACAGAAACATAAGAGAGAACCATAAGCTAATTGTTTGCTAAATGCTGTTGCTTAACTTATAAATTTCTCCCTTTAGAATTTATTTAAACTTTGATTCAATTAATTTCTTTCCAAATTTTATTTATGAAATTTTTATCCATTAAAAAATTTATTTATTAAACCTAAGTTTTTAAATAATAAATGAATCAATTTAAAGACAAAGATTCATTTCTGATATTAGAAGAGTTAATAAAAGTTAATATTAATAAAGAATTAATAACTTTAAAGAAACTTAAAGAAGCAAAAATTAAAAGAAGAAAGAATTAGTTCTTCGAACAATTAAATCAAAAATTAAATAAATTCTCAAAGGAAGTTAGAATTATATCAAAAGAGTAAAAATTTGTCCGTTTGACATTTTAAAGAACAATCATGTAGAGGCGCGGTATGGTCTCTAATAAGGGTAATCTGAATCCAGCGAATCTCAAACACAAATAAGTTTATTTTATCCGAACAAATAAATATAACAGGAAGTTATTCAATTAAAGTTAAAGCAGGAAAACCGCATAAAGGAAAATGCTTGGTAATAGGAAAAGCGGTTAATCCAAGAATGTTTAACTGAGGTTGTTCATAGAAATTTTTTTATGTTCATAAAAATTCTGGAAAAAATTCTTTAGATATATACAGATATGGAGACAAAAATTGTGTTTATGGAAAATAAATATAATTTCGAATTCGCTTCGCGGCATTTTAACTTTAAATACCAAAATAAATAATATCGGATAAAAGGTTTCATTTTTCATGCTGTTTTAATTTAGCCGGTAATAATAGTAATCTACCAGAAAGGTTGTTACGCACACAAGGAAATAACTGGATATACGATTTCAATAAGCAACGACTAACGTCCGAGAGCAGTTAGAAATCGGTTTAATCGAGACCTAAAAAGCTTTGTAATGTCTCCTTTAACTTTTGACTTCTCAATGATTAAATTGTTAAAATTATTATTTATTATTTTAAAATGTGTATATTCATGAAAACATTATCTAATTAAAAATCATAAAAAATTCAATTACTAATTAAAGAAGAAAATATTTAATGCTATTAATCTTGAGAGAACATTAGTAAATTAAGTAAAAAGAAAAGTTAACTCAAAGAATTATAATAACTCAAAGAATCCAGTATTCATTGGAAGCAATTGCATAGTTGATAAATTTACTTGTTTAAAAAGAAAAGCTGATAGTCCCAGTCCAGCTGGTCATAGTTTACGAATTAGTAAGGTAAATTTGAATAATCGAATCAATTATTTAAATTTACGAGAATAATTGTTAAAATTATTTGGACAAGAACCGTTCTTTTTAATTATCTTCAATTTCATCACCATCAGGCATCTCATTCAGATCAAAAGGATGAATATTCTTATTTAAATCTACTTGATTAGTTTCATCTTCAAGAATTTTATTTGGTTCTTCTACCTCGATTTGATTTTGCTCATCCTCACTATTGTTGCATTCCTCCTCTCCTTTTTTCAAAAGATTTCCTTCCTCCTCGCAAACAATTGATAATTTAACTAAATTAGTAAAATCATCAGTCTGTGGATTAACAAATGAAGTTCCTTCAATATTTTCAGATTGAACGTTTTTCTTTTTTTGTCGCCATTTTCGCTTGTTTTCATTGACATTTTTTCTATTATTTTGCTCATACTTTTTCTGACTTTTGCGTAATTTTTCCTTATTTCTTTTATAGTAATTTCGCTGATTCTCATTTATCCTTTCTTTATTTTGTTTTAGGTAATTTCGATAATATTCTCGCCTTTCTTTAATTTTTAATAAATTATTTTTATTGTTTTCATAGCTTTTTCGAGAATATTCACGCAATTTTTCTTTATTTTTTTGGTAATATTGTTTATGATATTCACTTTTGTCAAGCACTTTGCCTTCTCCTTTATCTGTATCCTTTTTAGTAATTTTTAATTTTGGTTTTAACGTTTCTTTATATTTTTGAATTCGAGGATTCATCGACGATTCAGCCTCTTCATTTAATATTTTATTAAAATCATTTGCCGTGTTATCCTTTTCAACCTGTCTAGCTAAACTTTTTCGAATAGGGATAGTTTTAACAAATGTCCATATTATCCAATTGAAGATTAAAACGATTAAAAAACTAGCAGGTTTCATTCGAAACAACTATTTAAATTTATTTTGGAATTAAAGAAAAATAATAAATTTTCCTTTAAAAGTCAATTTATATAAAGGAAAATTTGTGTAAATGTATAAAAGGGCAATAAACAAGAATGTCGAAATATCCGACAGATAATTTACGAAATCTTAAATTACAGCCATTTTCCCATTTTTAAATATAAAAACATGAGTAAAATTCATTGAAAGGAAAGTGCGTTGTTTTGAAAGAAATTTGATTTTCCGTTAAAATTAAAAGTGCATATTTATGAAAACATTTTTTAATAAAAAAAATAAATATTGAACATATATTCGACGGAAGGAAAGGGCATAGTTGATTAATATTTTGTTAAATTAAAGAACGGATGGTCCTAGACGATGCGTCAAAGGTTCCAAATGAATAATTTTATAAATCCAATTCCGATTTTAGTTTAAAAGAAATGAGAAAATTTTTAATAAATTGAAAAAACTTTACAATTAACACCGATTTTTTATAAAATGTTACCGTATTTACTGTATTATAGCCCTCCTCCGAATTAGAGCCCCCTCCTTAATAAAGCCCCCGTTTCGAGGATGGTTGAAAAATAGAGCCCCCCGTCTGTATTAGAGCCCCCTCTTTAATAAAGCCCCACTTTTCGAGATAGTTGAAAAATAGAGCCCCATGGGGCTCTAATACAGTAAATACGGTATTTAGTAAAAGTTTAATAATGATAGAATCAAAAGTCCCAGATTGAAAAGATTCCTTTTTCAAAATTGTCCTCGCAGACAATTGGTAATTTATCTTTATTAGTAAAATTTCCTGTCTGTGGATTAACACATGTTGCTACTTCATTAATATTAGAAAAATTAAATACACTTTTTCTGGAAATTATAAGCAAACTTTAGTTTTGATTCAACTCTTATGGGTAGTTATAAAAATGTCGGTCTTGACCGAACCGAATATTTTTCGTTTTGATTTTTCGGTTCGGATATCCGAAGTATTTTCAGGAATAGACAACCCTAGTTGCTTCTACTGTCGAAAATTTAGGGGTGCTTAGTAAAATTTTCGTAAAATTTTTCGTAAAATTTTGTTTCTTTTCCCTACTAATCATAATTTATTTATCATTGGTTGTTTCTTTCCTTTGAATATGAAATAGAAAGTGTTAAAAATATTTAAAATTACTATATTTTAATTGTAGTTATTTTTATTTAAGACTAAGGGGTGCTTATAATTTCCAGAAGAGTGTATTTAATATTAGGGTTCGGCGGGATCGGTATCCCATTCTGGCGGGTTTATCCCGGTTTTTTAATACCGATCCCGATTTTTTCGATCCCGAGATCGAAAAATAAATCCCGATTTCGTCCAACACCGATCCCGCAGTCTGAATCAGTATCGAGATCATTCTTCCAAAATCCCGATTCCGGTTTTATGTCTAAATCCCGATACCGCCCAACTCTATTTAGTATACCAGAAAATACTTTTATCAAAATTTTAAAAATATATTTTATATTTTTCACTTCAACTTCTATCAATTTATCACTTTTACCTCACTTGCATCATATGTACAAGTAGGGCCATTGCCAGGCTCCCCAGGTGCATACCCTTTAAAAGTTGATGACTCTCCTGAATTTTCTATGCATGCATAGGCCATTCTAGTTTTTTCGTTATTATAACCGTAGACAGAAACATTATGAAAGGATACTTTGTCATCGTACTTAAGATTCGCTCCTGTTCAAGACAAAATTTTCTGTAACAAAAATTAATTTTACCAATTATTGTAAGCCCAGGCCCCATGAATTTTGAGTTTCTAACATTCACATGACGGGTATATTGAAGCCCGCAATCCCCACAGGTTCTAAGAACTATAGAGCTGTTTGCAGTACAAAAATTTTTTATAATAGTTCTTCCAGGTCCGTTCTGATCGAAAATTTTTTGAAAGCCGTCCAGAGCACCCCCTCCATCTACAATCTTAAATACAGTACTTTATTACATATTATAAAATAAAATTATAAAATTTTTTAAAATTATAAAGCTATAAAAATTTCAGATAACTATGCCTTAGAGAGCGGGCTGATTCTGGATCCAGACCTTGATTTTTCCTGGATCCAAAGTCCAGAGCATGGCATTTTTCAGCGTTCCTTGATTTTTACTTGACTCAAGGTCAAGAATCTGGTCAAGGTACCCAAACGAAATCAAGGTCAAGGATCAAGGTCAAGGTTTTTTGAAAATCTCATTCGCTACTATGCATGTATGCACCTACGTCTTTTTTTTAATTCCGTAAGAATAAAAGCTTAAAATTAGTCTTATATGTATATCCAATTGTAAAGCATTGTATCATTTTAATTTAGTTACAATTTTAAATAATTACATAAGTAAATCCTTTGGTGTTGTCAGCCGTGTTTGCCTTATTTTTCTGTGCCCGATTAAAGTCATCGGGAGCTCTAAAACTGGCAGCACGCCAACAAGCATTCTCCCAACTAAAAATTAATTTTAGATATTTTATTAAATTAATTATGGTTGGAATTTAATTTATTATTTTTATTATACTCAATGGTGTACCTGAAAAAATTAAAATTAACACTTACTAAACATTTGTTAGGTTGCAACTGCCCAAACAACAAATATCAGCAGATGTTCCTTCTGGGGAGGCCCCAAGTATCACGTTGCTTACACTGCCCCCATCTTGAATAATAATAACAGACTCCCAATTTTTGGGAATGTTTGGATTGCATGTCCCTTTCTGTCCATTATATATAATTCTTTGTCCCCCAAAATCTTTGTGGTCATTGCCATTAATAAAAAATGTTTTGCTAGTTACTATAGTACCAGATGGCTTTGGAAAATTACAAAATTTAGCTCCTTGTTGGTTTAAAGAGAGAGAGAATGGAGGGATATAAATTAGTATAATAATAAAAATAAAGGGAGAATAATGAATAAAATTCATTGGTAATTGAATAAAATATTTTTTGGAAAATTTATTTTTGAATATGTGAAGGATTGACTCTCTCCAGATATATTTAAAGCAATAATGAATTAAATAAAAATCTCTCCTCAATCTAAAATAAATAAAAAATATAAAGCCAAAAAAAGTTGAAGCCAACAAAAATTTAAAATGATGACGCAAATAAAAATTTATAGAAAATTTTATAAATATAATTTTGCAGTATTAATAACTGCACCTGTCTTCTATAGCGAGTAAGCGACGAATAAACTCAAAAAATTCTCCGGAAAAGTAGTTTGTAAAATTTATTAAATTTTATTTAAGCATTAAAATAGCTTATAATTTAATATATTTAAAATTCATGTGACGCAGTTTATAAATTTTTTTGTACCAAAATTTAAAAAGAATTAAAAATTAAAATAAAAATTTAAAATTTAGAAAATTAAGAATAAAATCAAGGGGTCACTTTAGTACGTGGGTGCAGGCTTTAAATTACAAATGTTATATCATTTGAAAGAGCTCGTCGAGCTGAGTCGAATGACACCAAAATCAACGAAATCCGACTTGAATGGACCGAGATATAGACCACTAAAAATCGAAGATCCAAAAGGGAGGCCCCAAATACGTCCAGAGCAACGGGCGATGGGTCTGGGCTACTACGGGCGATGGGTCTGGGCTCGTAACATAAACCTATTCCTAAATCCGTTGCTCTGGACGTATTTGGGGCCTCCGTAGCAGCAAAAATCTCCACAGATGCCATAGGTAAGGAGCTAAAATAAAAGATCATAACTTTGTCCAATCAAGTCGGATTTCGTTATTGCTAGTCATCGTCTGTTTAATCACTCTAATGGAGTAAATGTCGAATATTGTTCGCCCTGATTAAAAGATATATTTTCTTCGGATTAAAAGATATAATTCTCGCCTAATGGCTTCGCCACTACACAATAAGGAACAGGAGAATTCTCTTTATAACTGTGAAAGTTTATTCACTTACAAAACATTAGTTAGAGTACAACTGCCCAAGCAACATATATCAGAAGATGTTCCATCTGGGGAGGCTCCAAGTATCACATTGCTTACACTGCCCCCATCTTGAATAATAATAACAGAGTCCCATTGTTTGGGTATGTTTGGATTGCAAGTTCCTTTTTGTCCATTATATATAATTCTTTGTCCTCCAAAATCTTTGTGGCCATTAATAAAAAATGTTTTGTCTGTTACATTAGTACCAGTTGGAGTTGGAAAATTACAAAATTTAGCCCCTTCAAGATTTAAAGTGAGAGAGAATAGAGGCATAAAAATAATTAGTAAATAGGAGAGATAAATTAAATTCATTTTAAGGTATTAAAAACGATATTTTCAATAAAATATTTTTTAATGAGTTAAAAGCTAGCAACTCTAGTATATTTAAATGCCCCTTCAAAATTTTTTAAATAAATAAAAATTGTATTGAAGTTGACAAAATACCCGAAACAAGCTTAAAAAAAAGAAAAAAAATATTTTTTCCGCTGAAAATTAAATTTAGGCAAGCTTTAAAGTCATGTGATTGAGTAAATGTTTTTTTTCAAAAGCTACATGTACACGTGCTTTAGCTATATTTTTAAAAATTTAGTTGGAGATGTTATTCAAATTTGGTATGAGTTAGCAATAGTTGAACCACCGGGGATTGGCAGTGGCCTTTCTAAATGCCGCTCGAATAAATTTTTTAAACAAATAAAAATAATATCTAAGTTGGCAAAATACCCAAAATAAGCTAAAAAAGGAAAAAATATTTTCCCGCTTATTATTGAAATTAAATGTTGGCAAAATTAAATTTTCTAATGACTTTAAAAATTTTAAAAATGAAAAAAAATGAATAAAAACTGATATAAATTGAAATCATATGCCTTGTTTTGGCTTTGTTTAAAAATATATTTATTAATTTAAAAAATAGAGTTGGAGCATTTAATTTGAAATACATAAACTATAAGTCAGGAAATTGAGTAAATATTTTTAAAAAGCTTCACGTGATTTGGCCAAAATTTATTTAAAAATATGCTTGGATATCATTAATAAGGGTAGCAATCCGAACCTTCGGTGGCGGGTGTGTCGGGGATCGGGGTTTGCCAGTGAAGGCATGTCGAGGTTCGGGCTCTGGTTTGACGGTGCTCGAGGTTTCACCAAAAATTCTTAAATTTAAATTTTAGCGACGCAGGCGAGAGCCTTCGGGGTTCGGGTCGGGGTTTTTGACAAAAAAATCCGTCGGGGTCGGGTTTTCGGGGTCGGGTTGCTACCCTAGTTAAAATTATTCAAATTTAGTAAGAGTTTAGTAAACTCAAGCCACTGATGAGAAAATCGCTAGCAGTGTCGCGTGGCCTTTCGTTTGCTTTGCAGATGCTTTAACAATTGAGCTACGGTGCGACACCGTTGTTTCCCTCTTTTCGTCCGCAACAACTCAATATAAATCATAAACACGTGTTAGAGCAAAGTATACTCAGAAAACTCGAAACTAAATTTTTAAGCTTTATGGATAAAAAGATTTTTTCAAAGGAGCTAAAAAAATAAAAGCATAAAAACGAAAATAAAGGTAAAAAAGGAGAAAGTAGAATATGTATCATTTTCTTTATCATGTTCTTCGACACCTTCAATTAACCACTCTAACTGCAGTAGCAGGGTAATTACAAGAACTGCCAGTTCCTGCTTGTCCAGGTGCCCAAGCATATTGCCAAGGATTTTTAGCATTTTGCTCTGCCTCGACACATGCGTAATTAATCTTAGTTGCAGGATTGTTGTACCCATAAACAGAAACGTTTCGAAGAGTTACTTTGTCATTATAGTCATGATTAGGCCCTTAAAATGTGAATATAGCATTATAGTTCTCTTTGAAAGAACTACCAATAATTAAAATTCCAGGTCCCATAAATTTAGAATCCACAATTGATAAATCTCGTTGATATTGCTTCCCGCAATCCCCACACGCTCGAAGAATTATCTGGCTATTTACTGCACAAAAGTTCTTTACTATAGTCTTTCCTGGTCCGCTTTGATCGAAAAGTTTTTGAAAGCCGTCTAGAGCGCCTCCTCCATCTACGATCTAAAAATTAGAAAAAATTTTAAATAATTTAAAAATTGTCGTACATATGTGTATTGCTGTGTTGAATCTCCTTCCTGGTTTGTATGTTTCCGATTGTATTCTGCTGTAGCACGGAAGCTCGCCGCACGCCAACAGGCATTTTCCCACCTGAAATGATTAATAAAGGGTATATTTTAGAACTCGATCGAATCTCAATAGCATGGATAAAAGCAGACTACTTATAAGTAGAGCTACAGTCTACTTTGTATGTTTTACTTCTAGCAGTTAATACATATGATCTGCATTAGTCATGTTATCCTTCCTTCTAATCATCTAAATAAGTAAGGACCTACCAAACATTTTTGAGTGTACAACTCCCCATACAATTAATATCAGCAGCAGTACCATCCGAAGAGACACCAAGTATCACATTCCTTACAGTTCCACCATCCGCAACAGTTATGACAGAACCCCATTGTTTCGGAATTTTTGGATCGCAAGTTCCTGGATTGCCATTCAATCTAATTCGTTGCATTCCAAAATCAACATCCTCGCCGCCTTTAACATAAAAACCAGTATTTGTAACATTATTACTTGAAGCCTTTGGAAATTTACAAAATCTAGCCCCTTCTCTATTTAATTCTATAGACAATATAGATATAAAGGAAATAATTAAAATAAATATATTAAGCATTTTATTCCTCTAAATTCTGGAAATATTGAAATTTGCTTTTAAAATTTGATGAAGAAAGAGGATTTTCTATCAATATTTATATGGTTAAATATAAAAAATTTTAAATGATTTTCCACATACATCAAAACCAATAGACGCAAACGAGAAAAATTTTAAAATCTATTTTAGTTTATTCTGTTGCTTTTAATTTAATTTTTTAAGTAAAAATTATCTCTTAGCTTACATATGAATAAACATAAATTATATAATTTTTAAAGATTTAAAATAATGACGCAAATGAAAATTTATAGAAAATTTTATAAATATAATTTTGCAGTATTAATAACCGCACGTGTCTTCTATAGCGAGTAAACGACTAATAAACTCAATCAAACTTTTCCGGAAAAATAGTCTGTAAAATTTATTAAATTTTATTTAAGCGTTAAAATAGCTTAATTTGAATATATTTAAAATTTATGTGACGCAGTTTATAAATTTTTTTGTACCAAAATTTAAAAAAATTTAAATAAAAATTTAAAATTTAGAAAATTAAAAAATAAAATCAATAAAATATATATCTATTTAGTGTTGAACCAATTCTGAAATTAAACTTTAAACTTAAGAATTTAAATGTGTTCCGGAAAATAACACACTTGTACATAAACTTAATAAACAGACTTTTCCCGGAAAAAGAAAACATAAATGATATTTTCTGTAGCGAAATGCGACTTTTGTATTATATTTTTCGACCCTTTTGTCACTTGTCTTTATTGTGAAAATATTTTTATTTCTTAAATTTATATTTTTAATCATGCGAAATCAAATACGCCTACTTCTTTGAAATTCTTCCTATTATTCATTGCACTTTGTAAATTTCTGCTATTTTTATGTTAAAACTCCCATTTTTTCCTCTATTTAAACGTTAGGAATTTAGGGTATAATCAGAGTTTTTTAGATTCTCTCAGAGTTAAGAGTTATCTTTGTGTAATGATTCACTCGAGCTTTTCTAATTGTAATAGAATTTGTTTGAATAAAGTTGTGTAATTTTTATTCTTTTGTTTTATTTAAAATAAAGAATTGAACTTAGAACTTAAAGAGTTTGATTTGAGTTTTCTAAGTTTAGTATTCTTTAAATAAGAGTTCTTTGTGATTCTATTTGAATTAAATTTGAGTTTTCTAGAGATTTCTAGAATTTAGTTTATAAAGTTTACATTGTATAAAAAGATTTAAATAAAGTTAAGATTTAACTTCAAGCTTCTTTTAAAATATTGTGTAATATTTTAATTGTTGAAATAAATTTGATTTTGATAGAAATTGATTTTGATAAAAAAGAAAAGAGTAAAAAGAATAAAAATATAAAATATTGTTTATTCATTGGAATAAACTAAAGAAAAAAAAAAAAATTAAAAGAAAATATAAAAATTTATTTATCTTTTAACATTGTCCAGCAAAAACATTTAATTTGCTTTTATTTCTTTTTGCGACATTTTCTGACACTTTCTAGACACTTGAGGAATTATTATATAATTATTTTCAGAAGCTTAATATTGCGCTAATAGTAATAAATTGCGCTAATAATTAAGCTTAATATTGCGCTAATAGCCGAAATATTTTTGTAAATTATTTTCATATTTTTGTATATTTTTACCAAAATTTTGTGATTTTTCATGAATTTTTGCAAAAATAAAAATAAATTTGGTCGCTTGACAATAAAAATTAAAAAAATTTTCGCCTGTGGCACTGAAAACGTGTAAAAACTGAACAAAAACCCCCATAAAGGCACACCAATGATTTCCCAAACCGAAATATACCAAAATGTCTCTTTCGCCCCATCTCTTTTTGCTAAATTTAAACATTTTTTAACTTTAATTGTGAATAAAATAAAATGCTGCCTTGAAATGACGATTAAATAGCTCTCTATAGCAGACAAAAACAGTTTTACTTTTTGGCATTTTTTGTCAATATTTTGCCCATTTATTTCAATATTTTATGGCAATATTTTGCGATTTTACTTCAATAAAAGTCCGGACTTTAATTATTAAAATTTAGCATTTTAGCAAAACTCAAGCTACCGATGAAAAAATGGCTCGGAGTGTCGCGTGGCCTTTCTAAAAGCTTTGAGATGCTTTAACAATTGAGCTACCGGTGCGACACCGTTATTTACCACTTTTCTTCCTTACTTTCCTTACTGTGACAACCCAAAATAAATCATAAATACGTGTTAGAACAAAAAAATACACAGAAAACTCAAAACGAAAAGCGAAAATTTTTAAGCTTTATGGACAAAAAAATTTTTTCAAAGAGAGCTAAAAAGATAAAAGATAAAAATGAAAATAAAGGTAAAAAAGGATAGAAAAGAGATGAATTTGACTACGTTTTTCTTTAAATAATCATTTTTGTAGACATCAGAAGTAAATTGGTTAGGCTGATTGTATTTTTCTTTATCATGTTCTTCGACACCTTCAATTAACCACTTTTACTGCGGAAGCAGGGTAATTACAAGAACTGCCAGTTCCAGCCTTTCCAGGTATCCAAGCATATTGCCAAGGATTTTTAGCATTTTGCTCTGCCTCTACACATGCAAAAGCTATTTTAGTAGCTGGATTGTTGTAACCATAAACAGCAACGTTTCGAAGAGTTACTTTGTCTTTATAGTCATGATTAGGCCCTTGAAATGTGAATATAGAGAATATAGCCTTCCGTTAAAGATCTACCCATAATAAGAAGTCCAGGTCCTTTGAATCTAGAGTCCACAATCGTTAAATCCCTTTTATATTGCTTCCCGCAATCCCCACACGATCGAAGAATTATCTGGCTATTTACTGCGCAAAAGTTCTTTATTATAGTCTTTCCAGGTCCGCTTTGATCGAAAAACTTTTGAAAGCCATCTAGAGCGCCTCCTCCATCTACAATCTAAAAATTGGAGATTTTTTTAGCAATTTCAAAAGTTAGATACATATGTATATCCTGTTGAATCTCCTTCCTGGTTTGTATGTCTTCGATTGTATTCTGCTGTAGCACGGAAGCTAGCAGCACGCCAACACGCATTTTCCCACCTAAATAATTAATAATGGATATATTTTCAATAGCATAGATTAAAGCTGTCTACTTATAATTAGCAATCAGACTATTGGAACCTCGGACTATGATTAGACCTCAGAGTATATGGGGAAGGGGGGGGGTATATTCAAATATTCAAGTTAAATTTGGATTATTTATAGATCAAAACCTTATCAGTTCATTAAAATCCGCATACTCTAAATCTACTTACCAAACATTTTTGAGTGTACAACTCCCCATACAATTAATATCAGCTGCAGTACCATCCGAAGAAACACCAAGTATCACATTTCTTACAGTCCCCCCATCAGCAACAGTAATGACAGAACCCCATTTCTTCGGAATTTTTGGGTTGCAAGTCCCTGGATTTCCATTCATTCTAATTCTTTGCATTCCAAAATCTTCGTCGCCTCTAACATAAAAACCAGTATTTGTAACATTATTACGTGAAGCCTTTGGAAAATTACAAAATCTAGCCCCTTCTCTATTTAATTCTATAGACAGTATAGACATAAAGGAAATAATTAAAATAAATATATTAAGCATTTTATTCCTCTTAGATTCTGGGAATATTGAAATTTGCTTTTAAAATTTGGTGAAGAAACAGGGTTTTCTATCAATATTTATATGGTAATTTTAAAAAATTTTAGAAGTTTTTCACAAACATCAAAACCATCTCCGGTATTTTATAAATTAAACACAATAGACGCAAACGAAAAAAATTTTTCTTTATTTTACATGTGAATAAATATAAATTATAAATTTTTGGCTGATTTTTGCCAAAATTTTTAAAAATTAATTTTCTAAAAAAATTATTTCCTTCCAGTACAAAATGGATTAATTTATTACGTAATTCAAGTCGATTACTTTGCTTAATTTTAAATTTATTTCCGGATAATTAATTATTATTAATTATTCTCTTCTTGAAAGTCAAGTTTATTAATTTTAATCAGATTATTAATAAAAATTTTTTCTTCCTTTTCTTCTTTCACTTCTCTTGTGTTTCACTCGTGTTCAAAAGCTAGAAGCATTCGAGACAAATCCAAAACACCAAGAAAAGCTCTTGGTTGCAGGTTATGTTGCTGTGTACATGTTAAGTATATTTAAATAAATTCGAGAATCAGGACGGCTCGTTCCCTAATACATATACATATATTTATACATTCCAAAGAGTATAAAATATAACACTAAAATGGATGAGTGATAAATTAAGGTACTTTTCTGTTTTGACACACCCACCTTGCTGAATATTTATATTTTTTAGTTTTACTTAAATTAACCTGTTAAAAAACACCAGTTTTCATTATTCCTGAAAAATTAAAACTTGTCTAGTTTAGGTCTCTAACCCTTTTATTCGGGGGGGGGGTCTCCAACAATTTTGATAGACAAACTTCATTATTATCCTATTTAAATTCAAAGATATTACCTCAGCCAGATTTTTTCGGCAAATTTACTCACAAATAGAAGGCATTTTATCTTCTGATGGTCGAGCCAACGACATTTTTCAACTCTTTCAGACTTGAGGACAAAACTTGTGGACCCACTTTAATATATTATTATTTAATTTTAAGGAATAAGTGTAAATTACTTCTCTTTCGCAAATTATATTTTGGCGATGATGATGATGAGACTAAAAAATCTTATTTAAAAAATTTTTAATTACTGGGTGGAAAGAATCTGGTTATTTGAAGACACCCAGACTTTTAATGGATGTCACTTTAAACACAATAATTATTTTAATTACTGAACAGTAAAATATTTAAACTAAAAAGACATAAAGTTCTACACTATCGCCATTGGTGCGGGATTGCACTGCCGAATCCAATACATAATCGTTTAAAAACGCGTGTTTGCGCGGATTTTTTAGTAAACATTTACTTTTGGAAAAAATTTATAAAATTATGCAAAATTAATTTTTATATATTATAGAAAGAGTTTGCAAATTAATTTTTTTATTTATT